CGGTGGCTGGCGACGTGCTCTCAAACAGATACCTTTATATTGCACACCTATTCCTGTTATTGTCAGTTGAAACTGCCGTTCACTTCCCAACAAAATTATGCATCTCCAGTTTCTCTTATCATCTGATACTTATCACAATACGGCGATAGTTGCATTACAAGAAACATGGCTCCATGAACTTTATGATGACAACCTGGTTTCCCCAAATGGTTTTACAGTGTTTAGACAAGATCGACTACGCTCCAGAAAGAAAAGAGTTGGAGGTGTTGCAACTTTCATTCATTCTAAATGGTCAACTTCAAATAATGTATGTTTCTCTTTCTCTAGTGACTTTATTGATTGTATAACAGTTAAATGTCTTCCGAAACACTTATCCAAGTTTAAATACGTCTTCATCTCTAACATTTATGTTACTCCTGGCTGTTCCGCCTCGGATCTATCTGATTTTGCAGATGAATTCACTGAATTCGCTGTTACGCATCTCGAAAACTCTTTATCAGTTGTTACAGGAGATTTCAATTCCTGCGACAGTTCTTTTCTTGAATCATTAGATCATGTCGATATTGTTAAATTTCCTACTCGACTTGATAAAACACTGGATCTAGTATTTATTAATGATGAGGAAATATATGAAGCTCGCAGACGTGCTTCATTGTTTTATTCGGATGTTACCTAAGATATATAGCAGATTTCACTCTAATATCCTCTCAAATTTGTCCAGAAAAACACAAAGATGTCACTCACAGGATAATGTACTTAAACTAAGACGTGTGTTAAATGACACAAACTGGGAACTTTTCACCGAAAACACACTGGATGATACTATTTCCAATCTGACTGACTATCTTAAATTCTGCCTTGATGTATGCTGTCCAAAACAGATACTTTTCAGAAGAATGGACCGTTTCTCTTCCCCTCATCTCAAAAAGCTTCGAAGAGAAAAAGAGAGGCTGTACAAGACTAAGGATAAGTCTGGTCTTAGGAGGATAAACATCCAAATTAAATCCGAAATCAAGAGGGTAAACAATATTTATAATCAAAGAATACTGTCTTGTAAATTCCAGGAAACATGTGGAAGCTTTTCAGTGAAATTACAGGTTGCGATAAGCATAATATTTGTGCCCCTTCTATTGATGCAAATACTCTTAATCGATCTTTTATCCGCCCTCCTAATGTCCCTTTTAGCTTCAATGTAACAAATAACATGACCAGTGACTTTCAGAGTTTCAATACTTCTGGTGTTCTTAAATGTTTAAAATCTTTTAAACCTTCTCAGAGTCTAGGCCCTGGTGGTATACCTGCCACTATCCTAAGGAAATGTGCTGATATTTTAAGTCACCCACTTACAAACATTTTCAATACTTCTTTTTCTAATAATGTTGTATCTTCTCTGTGGAAAAATATTAAAATCATCCCTGTGCGTCGGTGGAATAGCGGTTAGGACGCTCGCCGACCATGCACATGGTCCCGGGTTCAAACCCCGGCCGACGAAGCACTCCTTTACCTCGCTGAGCCAGAAATAATGCTGGTAAAGAGGAAAGGTCGGGCATGAGGCTAGCAACCCCATCCTGTAAAATAAACACTGCTAAAGAAACTTCAAGCCACTAGCTTGAAGCCCTATGTTCCACTGGGGAACGTAAAGGAAAAAAATTTTAAAAAAATTTCTCTGTGGAAAAATATTAAAATCATCCCTGTACCCAAGTCTTGTTCTGGAAATAGTGTAAAGTTTAGACCTATTGCAATCACCTCTCCTTTTTTGAAACTTATGGAGAAACTATTGTTACTAAAACTTGTTCCCTCCCTAGGCTTCTCAAATGATCCAAAGCAGTTTGCTTACAAACAGGGTAGAAGTACTTTAGACGCTGCTGCTGTGTTTCATGACAACATTGTATCCTCCTTAGACAAAGGGGCCAAGTATGTCCGTTGTATGTTCCTTGATTATACATCTATTTTCAACTCTGTACCTAGAGGCCTTTTGTTAAACAAGCTTAGCCTTACACAAACTGAGACCTAGGCTATCAGCTGTCTGCACTCTTACTTCTCTAATAGGATGCAGTACACGGTACATAATGGTGTATCTTCCTCTCCCTTGCTTACTGAAGCTGGAGTTCCTCAGGGTGCTGTTCTCTCTGTTTCTCTTTTCCTTCTTCTTACGTGACTTACCTCTTTCAGGCGAAATCAACTTCGTCAAATATGCAGACCTGACTGTTAAATCTCGCTTCCTGTTAAGTCTCACTGAGACTGTTGCAAATTAAATAGCTTCCTGTCGGATATCAGTCAGTGGTGTAAACTAAATGGCCTCACGCTGAATCCCTCAAAATGCCAGACTATTGACTTCTCCTTTAGGCATAAACGAGATCTACACACACTAGTAAGTACTCATGAAGCCTGTAGGATTGATGGAACTAAAATTGAAACTAAGTCTAATGCAAAACACCTCGGATTAGTTCTATCTTCCGACCTTAATTGGTCATCTCATATCCAAACGATTTCTAAGAAAGTGTTCTGTCTAACCTAATACATTAAGAAACTCAGACTAACTGGAATCAACCAACCTCTACTTTCATAATTTGTCAACTCTCGTATCCTACCTATTCTACTTTACTGTTCCCCGTTAGTCTTTCCTGGGTTACTGAAAAAGGACTATACCATCCTGAGTAGGATGTTGAAGGTAGTCAGTAGGACTAGTGGTAAAAACTCAGTCAGGTCGTCATTACATTAGTAGAAAGGCATCTGAATGCATGAGAAAAATGACCTAAAACCATACTCTCCGCCCCCCAACACCCCCTCTATTCCCAACTCTCTCCTTGTATCTATCTCATCAGGTAGAGCCAGAAATCAGTACTTAATAATACATGCTCGTACAACCAAGTGTGGGAACTCAACGACACCATATTTGGGCCATGTTCTAAGTGACAGAGACAATGTTAAGCTCAAAACCTATGACTTGCTTTGTTGATAACATAATTTTAGCCCTTTTATTTCCCCCTTATACTCCCTTATTTGTACTCTGTTGTGAACAACCTTCTTAAACATACTTAGCTACCTAAAATTATTAACATTGGCTTACTCTTTTATTCTTTATTCTATTCCTTATTTTGGGTATCTACTGGTCCCAACTATATTATCACTGTGAGTATTACAAAATTGTCCTGTCATTAACCATCATGTAATATTAGTTTTGTGATTGTTTTTTTGTTCGTCAATATTAACTCTTGGTTGTGAACGCCCCTATCACCATCCTAAAATTTTTGTATTATGCATGATTACTCACACTACCATAACAAACACCGCATTAGTGCTGACAATAAAAAAAGCTGAAATGTTAATTGTATGATTGTTTAGTGTTCTTTCAATCAATTAAAATTATCATCTTGACTATAAGCATTCTTAATATCATCTCATAACTTCTTGTGTGATTATAGCATTTACTGTTCACCACGCATACACATATCACAGATTCCACTGCCCAATACTGAGATATTATTTATTATTGTTGTTTATTTTTTCTACTTGGTATATTTTTGCATTTTTTAAATCTTTGCTTTTTGGTTTATGTTATTTTTTATATTTATTTTTTGAAATACTCCTTTTAAATGTGCGATGAAATTATATGCATTATTGTAGATATGTGCTCAAAATTCCACACTGTACCACTAGTACTGTTTCTGGAACAAAGCAAATTATTATCATTATTAAAAATCATTTTTTTGAACTTCTATTCAGTTGTCATCTAATCAAAAAGAAGGTAAAAAGGCTAAAATACAAAAACTATGTAGAAATTTATTATCATGCAGCTTACACATCACTCACACCTGTAGAAGAATTTTTTGAGTTTCGAGGAGGCAAAGCCAGGATAGTTAGTCAGGCTTTTGGTAAAGTGTACTTGAATCTATCAAGGTTACAGAGCGTTTGTAAAATCAGCGTTTTGAGGAATGTAAAATAAATAAAACAAAAATCCTTTGGAAATATTTTGTAATGAATATCATTTAACGAGAGCCTGAATTTATTCAAAGTTATGATTTAAGCATTGGCATTTCTGTATTATCCAGAAACAGATGTCATATAATGTCATATAAGAAGTGCATATAGCAAGCATACACATCAAAGGAACTGATAAAAGCATACATGTCCTTATAATATAAAAAATATTCACAGAATTTGTCAGAGTATTGACATATATATATATATATATATATATATATATATATATATATTATATGTCCAAAACAAACTTCTGTAAATTATGAAAATAAATCGGTACATGAACAATAAGCTAATGACTGACCTTGAATAGGTAGGCAGAAAAAAGATTATCACGAACGGATATATGTTGTTTTTTTTAATAATAAATAATTTACAAATGTGTCTTTACGAGGGTTTAACAGACAATTCCAGGGTAAATTTCATAGAGAAATGATATCAGTTTTAGAATTTCTTAAATCCCAGAAAGCATTCGATAAACACTTCATCCTAGTCTAGGCAATTCAGAAAAACACATCCATATGCCCTAATCACCAGTGACTGAACCTTCATTGTATGCAACTAGAACGTTTTCATTCAGCCAGTGATCCGGATTTCAGTGACTGATGAGTTCTAACATGTGACTGTTAACAATACAGCGCTACCAGCACCTGATGTCATCGGAAAGTATTTATATTTATATTAGACTACGTGAATACTGATCGCTTTTCGCCTATTAACTTGAAGTTTGGCGTTATAACCACCATTCGGATGATGGGTGTTTGTTGGCAGAGGAGCCCCTGACTACAATGAAATACATATTGAGTGCCATCTAGTTTTCAGTGATTCTCAAGTTGGTGTCGGTTTGTGACGAACTCTACTAGGAAGGAATTTAATAATTCTATCAGATGATAGGAATACTGGTTGAAGATATTGAATAACAGAGCTAAACTCAATGAAGCCCTAGGACAGCATGTGAATTAGAAAAGAGAAAAAAGCAGACGAGTTAAACAAATAACACTTGTATGCCAGTTTACCTTTAATTATTATTTATGTAACAGATGAATATAAAAGAATGAATGCAGCCTAAAAGCGAAACAAACAAACTTCAATATGATAACTCACTTGTAATAAATAATTATTTAAATGACAGAAAAAAAAAGAAAAAATTTAACACATTTTCTAAAAGTAGACACAATTTAAAATTTGATAGTTCTGTCGTAAAATAATGTGAACTAAAAACAAACTTTCAGAACTATTGATATAAGTATAAGAACTATTCTCCATTTTTAAAAATAACGAGTGACCGTCCTGATGAAGAGCCCGAAACTGGGGCGAGACAGATGTCGGAATCTCTGTAGTGACGGAATCTACATGGAAACCAATCAAATCCAACAGACTAACACTTTAAAATAATAATTAAATAATTCAGAAATGTTCAATTTGTAAGACTAGCTGTTGTGACAAGGAAAACTAATCAGATGTATACATCACACCATCTGATAAAGAATAACCGTTTGAAGTTTACATTTCAAACTAAAAATACTAGAAAGTACATATATTCTATGTGACAATAAACAGAATTTTCACACATTCAAATAATCAGAATAATTTACAAACGCATATACCTACGCGCACATAAACACACCTGTGAAACACTGTAGAAGCTTTACTCAAAAGTACATCAGTTCAAACTGTTGCACTTTGTATACAGGAAAGAAACTGAAAATTTAAGTAAGATGATGCAGTTACATATTTTACTTTTTTGGCTGAACTCAATATAAAATTGAACATTAGAGGCAAACTCAGTGTTAATATTCCCTGTGTATTAGCTCAATCTCACCTACTCTGTTGTTGAATATTTTGAAGACAATTAAAAGAATTTATGTAATGCTATTTTAATAAAGCAGCCATCAAACTTTATTCAACAGCTGCCCGTTTCGCTCGATACTGAAAATCAGATGGCTAATCAGAAAGAATAAGCATCAAGGAACTCTGAAGACGAACAAACGAGGAACATATTGCTCAACGAACATCTCTATTAAAATGGAGATCAATCAAATACACACTGAGAAGACCATTGAGTCATATCGCTACTTAGGCCCTCGAGTGGAACCCTAATGGGTAACGACAAGTTAGATATGGGCCCGAGGGTGGCATGGAGGAGATCGTGTGAAGAGGAAGTAAAAGCCTTTAGGAAATCGTGGAGTAAGCTAAGAACAACTCAAGAGAACAGAGTGAAGTGGCGATGTGCTGTTGAATCCTAATGTTCCACTCGGAAGTTTCCATTTTATCAAGTAAATGCAAAAATCAGTTGTGTACAGATCCAATATAATACAAATAAAGTTTAAGATTTGAAACGACGCTGACAGGATTCAAATTTCATAGGAAACACCATCATTCAAGTGGAACGAAACATTTGTATCAAATCTTAATGCTAGCCACCACTTATAATATATATATATATATATATATATATATATATATATATATATATATATATATATATATATATATATATATGTATTCTGTCACAGATTAACCAGTCGTACATGTGTTATGTGGTATAATTTTATATTCCTTTGGGTTCTGAGTGGAATATAGGTCATCTAGCTTTCTGAATTCTCAGTAGAACTGATGTTTACAAGGGATAGGGCTGCTAAATTTAGACTCAACATCCCTCCATTTTTGAGTTTATTACCAGCTGGTAAACTAGGTGAGTTTTAGGGGTCCAGCAGCACCTGGAACATGGTTAAGGAACATTCTATCATTCAACCACCGACGCACACAAGTTCTGTACCATACATCAATGTATTTCCCACATATTATTAATTTTCTTCAAATGGTTCAAAAGCAGACTCAACGCGAGTAGCGGAAGACTGTCAATATGCCCTTTCCTGCGAAAAGTTTGAAAAGCATACAAAAGTTCGTCTAGTTTCATCTACCATTATAGCTTAAACACTATTTTAAACAACTCATTTGATTGCCGATCAAATCATCGTCAACCACCAATAATATTTTGGTACAACAACAAAAGTTATGTATACAGACGAATTTATCCTGATAAGGAAATGCCTAATCTCCGTGACCCATCTTACTCAGACATATTTAAGGTAAAAAGGCTTATTATATAAAACAAAACAACTCAGGGAATTCTGAAGTAAATGAAGGGTGCACGATTCTTGTCAGAAAAGAACTTAAAAAAACTATCAGAATGGTGGCTGGCAGCGGAAACCAGAACACTCAACTTTCTTTATTAAGAAAAAGTGAAAAGACTTTTACATGGAAAGTGGTATCAATCATAAGGTTGATTTTATGACGAACTGACATCAGGGTGAGGACTACTGGGAACTAAAGTGTTCTATACATGCCCACACCGGGCATCAAACTCAGGACCTTCAGAATACATAGTAAAGATGAATTAAATGTTTGTCAGTTACTGACTAGAGAGTAAGAAGTCATGACCATTATGGTCCATTAAGTCGGTTGTAAGTACATTTACTAGCGTATTACATTAGATGGTGGCGGTGTTGTATTGAGAATGAACAAAAGTAGGACTCATTGACAACAGGAATGGCATCGTCTCCATCTAATCAGCTAAAGGTGTTGGGTTCTACTCCCGGTGACGATATATTCCCACACCAGGATAAGATATTTATTTCAGCCTCCTTGACTTCCAATGATTTTCTGCTTCATTTCGTTTTATGATGAAACCTACGTTGAACCTAGCTATATCCAAACAAAACCAGTATCTGAAGATTTTAATCAATTCGTTTTAATAAAATGAAATACTTGGGAAACCACAAATTGTGGTAGTAAGGTACTGTTGTTAATATGACGATTTTCTTTAAGCTAAACGACTGATTTAATGTCAACGAAAAAATAGAATAAAATGTCATGTAGCTGCATATAGATTAGATTTGTACGCACGTACATTCCATGAAACTGTAAACACATGAGTTCATATATATATATATATATATGAGTTGATCACGGATTGATATCAGTTAGAGAACCATTGAAAACAAGGGAGTACTGGACAGCTGCTGTTTCGTCCTAGTTTGGGACTCTTCGGGAGCACGCACGGACTGGGTTTCAAACTCAAGACCTTCCGGTTACGAGGCAAGCTCGTATACCATTCAGCCACTGGGACCCGATTCAGTGGCCCATGAATTCCAACTTCTACCAATTCGTAATTTAGCGCGACCCTAACCAATGTCATCGGCGGGACATCCGTCCTCACACTTGACTGGATGGGCCTCACTGGACACAACTTCTCACTAGAACCCCAGGAACTCTGTTTTGTAGCAAGTCACCGGAAGACCCTGGTGAGTACTGCCGATGATTCCCAAACTACAATGAAACAGCTTTCCAGTACTCCCTGGTTCTCTAACTGATATCAATCCGTGATCAGCTCGTAAAAACAAAACTAATCCTTACAAACCATATATATATATATATATATATATATATATATATATATTTAGTGGTCTATATACTGCATCCCCTTCAAATTTAGCCAATTTTAAGTATATAATTAGTTTTAATAGGACTAATAATCTTCCCAAATGACCAGTGGAAAGTCATTTTCCTCCAGAATTTATTAATCTGAAATATTATAAAATAGTGAAAAACCTTTAGGAATTGAATTTAGTAATTTTTGTAAGCGATACCTCATATTAGCACAAAATAAGTAAATATTTCACACATATCGGATAGAAAGATCACAGTAGGACTTGATATATGTGTCATCACCTAAAGCTGTCATACACTAAAACACAGGGAAATAAACGAACTATTAATATCCCTGAAATCATTATAAAAGGATAAGAAGAAAGAACGCTAAACGTACGAACGAACTTTAATGAAAATGTCTAAATTTTTGAAGACAGTAAAGATAGCATAGGTCTAGCGTACTGCTACGGGTTTTTAGCCTTTTCATAGAGAACACCCAACCTCAAGTTTCGACTCTAGAAGAACAACATAGACTTTCTTTCGTCACTCATCATGATAGCCAGTAGTTTTGTGGAACTACTCAATTTCTTTCGAACCAACTCTAATTTATTTAAAATGGCTTGTTGATGAAGCCAGCATAGGTTGTGCTAGTTCCATACAACTGCATATGATAAGATTTAACTCTTGTCTAGCCTTCAAGTACAGTTTCTGTTACATCAAAGTAATAACACAGAGATCTATGAAGTCAAAGGTTTGTAATCTCCCTGTTTCTCCAATATTTATACATACTTTAGTAGGTAGCTGGATATTTCATTTCAGATGGCATAAATTAGTAACTCCAAGATGTATTGTTTCTATTCAAAATTCATCATGTTCTGATTTTATTAGGGGTTATCTAAATTACTGTAATTCCGTTACCAACCACTTTAGTAGGCAAATGAAACTTTTTACTGAAATGCTTAGGAATTTCAGCCACTCAATTCATCGTGCCTATATCATTAATTGGTACAAACTAGTCCTGTAATATAGACTGATACCTGGAAAGCATGACAAATACACTAAAATCACGACCAAACGCAATATTATTCTTCCCCTGGATGCTGAGTGGAACGTTGGGATTCAACAGCATGTCACCATTTCACTCTGCAGTCTTTTGAAGCTTACTTCATAATTTCACATAGGCCTTTACGTCCTCTTCACACCATCTCCTCCATGCCTGAAGTTTTGTCTTAGCTGCCTCTCTTGTCAAAGTTTTGGTTTTTCATACAGCTAGTTCGCTTTATTAGTTGGGATAAACAGAGGACGGACATATTTGCAGATATTTGGAATTTTTATGACACTAGATATTGGTCGTTCGCGAGGTCCATATCTTCTGAAGTTTCCCTGTCGGTCTAGCGTATTCCTGTCGTCTCACTCTCCACAGTCTGTTGTATGATTCAATCTACCACAATGAGGAATATCATAAGTGAAAATAAACAGTCTTTTCTTACTTCTGTTTTCGCTTCAAAGACTTCGTTGCGATTTCTTTTGAGAACTATTTGGCATATGGCATCATGATATAGCTGCTGAATAAGGTCTATACAACTCTGACGTACTCAGTAGTGTTGAAGCAGCTGTCAAATCACCTCGCGTTCGGCGCTATCAAAAACCTATTCAAAGTCAACAAATTTGAGCGGAACAGTTGATTGTCAATTTACTCTCCATATGGTAATGATGAGTAGCGTTGCGCTTTTATCCACGTATGATTTGTTTTTGGTAAATGCAACTTGTTTCGGGCGAGGGTTCACATTTAAAGTATTTTTTAATCTATCCAAGATGATTCGGTCTCATACTTTTTTTCATTTGGACGGCAATATTATTCTGCAACAGTCCTCGTGAAAGCTTAGTTAGTCCTTCTTTAGCGGTTTTGACAGGATAAACTTTCTTTCTGTTGTCAGGTACCTTTCCTTCCCTCTAAACCTTCTGCAGTAGTGGATTTTGCTGAGGTCTCTGGGTCCATTTTCGGTATTTTAGTGGGAAATTCATTTGGTTCTGCAGCTTTCAATACTATAGCTGCTGGAAATTCTTAATCACACAGGTGTTTAAAAATATCAAGTAGTTTTCAGAATTATGTAAATAACATAGAAGGATTTCAGCAGGTGCCCAATTAGCATAAACTTGTGATAAGTACAAACGATGAAAAAAGCGTTTAGCTGTGTAGATTTAGAATCTCAAAGTATTATGCTTAAAACGCTGCAAAGAGTAGAAAATCAGTTTAAAGTGAACCTCATTTGGAATATTAACTAAACACACCGTAATTTCTTCTATTCTGATGCTCTTTTTCTTAGCACAGAATAGTTTATTCAAACTGCCAGATTTACTTACACATAAATTTTGTCTTACAATAACTACGGCTATTTTGGCAGATATGTAAATGTATGTTTCCGCCTTTTAGCTAATTTAAGACGCTTAATTCTAACTTTGTATCTGATATTTCGTTTTCCGGTTGAGTTATACATCACTAACAAAAGCACTTAACCTTGCCCTGTGAATGATATGTTCAAACTCTCTCTGCCAACCAGTTTTAGTAACTGATTCCGACCATTAACTCTTACACAATAGCCGTTACTCCCTGAAAGATATATGGGTGTATCTAAGTAGTTGTTTAGTGAAATCTGAGTGTTTACTTTTTCAAAATTCTCTGAAGTATTACGAGTGAAAATACTGCTAAATATCCGGACGCTAGTGACCATTATTCACACTAGGATATTTTCGCCGGTGAATAGACATTTTGGAACTGGCAAATAATACGCCAAAAAAGGTGGTAGATTGAAATCAATTCGTCTAATATCCAGTCATCTTATATGTTCATCCATTGTTTCAAGTTTGAATGAGGTTCGGTAAATTCATAGTGAGGTTCATATGCCCTGATGAAAATTTCAGAAACTAAATAAAAATTGCAGAAGATAGGTAACAGTGTGAACTGGGTATCAGTGAGGAATAATGGAAAATTAAACTTGTACATAAATCTGCTTATCTTCA